CTGGAATCACAACACTGCATTTATACTCCACTAGCTTTGGCGCTGCTGCAGAAGGTGGGGGACCCAGTGCTCCCCCAAGTGCAGGGTATAGGTGTTTCCTAACAAAAAAGGCAGAGAAATAGAAGATAAGGAAGAGGAACCACAAGCTGAGGAGAAATGCTCTGGATTCAGGACTTAGATGGACATAGACTCCAATCCTGACTCCCACACTGGCTGAGCAACTCACTTCCCATCTGGACTCAGTTTCCCAGAAAATGTAACGCCTAGTCCCATGTCATAGCCCGATACTAACACTGAGACAGGAATTCTAACACACGCCGCAATTGCTGGCAGGCGAAGAGCTGAGTAAAAACCGCAGCACAGAATCCAAACAGGGCCTGCCTGCCTCCAGACGAGGAAGTGGGCAGGCCTCGCCCTCCCCAGGTCACCATGAAGGGAATGTTGCCTGCCAGCTGGCCCCAGAGTCTCCAAGTTGTCAAAGACAGGCTTCTGTGGGTGCCACTGTGGGACGGGAGGACGTGCTTGCTGACCACATCCCAGCTGTTCTGCAGCTGTGGCTGCCCAAACCCTGCAGCTATCCTCAGGCCTCCACCACCCAGCGCATGGCACAGCCACAGCCCCGAGGGAAGTCACGGTCCACTCACCCTTGCTGTTGCCCAAACCTAAGAGATGACAATGAAGGACGTGGTTTGGGCTTTCTAGTCTCGCAGCTGACAGTTGACTTTTTTAACAAACACCACAGAGCTAAAATCTGCTTCCTACCTTGACTGTCATCCTTAGCATGAGATGGAAAGTGGAGGCTTATGGGAAAAAGAGACTGCAAAAGCCATAATGAATTATTATCATGGGCACAGACGTCAGGTTTTTAACTTAAACACAGGTACACACTACCAAAGAAGGAGAATTGGATGATTTTCACACCATGGATCGGGGTTCCCTCCTATGCTGAGATCGTGGTGCTTGGTCCAGTCCCAGGGTTGATATGAATATCATTTACCCCTCCCCTCCCAAGCTCCTCCTGATTTCCCGGTCTCTGAAATGAACATCATCACTGGGGACATCATTTCAATTCTTAAGGGAATCTTTGATACTCCTGCTGAGTGTTCAGAATTTCCCACTTCGGAAAAGCATTTGTTATTTTGTTTTGTTTAATTTTAATTTTTTTTTTTTTTTTTTGGCAAGGTCTCACTACATAGTTCAGACTGTCCTGGAACCCACTATGTAGCCCAGGCTTTGCAATCCTCTTGCCTCAGCCTTCTGAGTACTGGGGTTACAAGCCTGTGCCACCTTGCCTGGGCTTCTGCAGGCAGCCTGCTACTTCCCAATGCACTCGTAGCATCCTGGGTCACACTCTGGATGATTCTATGTCAAGATCAACAGATGTCCAGCTGGGCTTCTGCCCACATCATTCCTCTGCTCAGTAACGTTCAGTGGCTCCCTTTGGCTCATCCTGCAGCCAAAGAGCCCCAGAGTATGGCCCTGTGTCTCAAATTTGTTTACTAGATTTGCTGCTTCAACATCTGTTTTCAGATCCAGATAAATCATTCGCCACCTCTGGCTTGGTGGTTGAGTCCCCTCCCCCTGTGGTTTTTGTCATGTGGTCCCTACATTCCTCATTCCCTAACCCCCAACCCTCAGGGGCTGGACGCAGTAAAACCTAATGGTCAGTGTCAGAGCCCATGTCACACCACTTTCTTTAACCAACACGCGACCCCCAAAAGCCTAAGGCACAACGCCAGGGGCCCTAAGAGTCACAGCTCCCCACATCCTCTCTGTGTGGTGCGTTTCTCTATTCCCCACCCACTGGGTGAGCTCCCCAACACCTTCAGCCTCCCTCCTAACTTCTCTGAGATCTGTAAGTAACAAATTTTTTCTGCTTCAAGCATTTTTGGGTTACTTCGTCGCTGAGTCTCACCTTGAACACTCTTGAACCTGACCTCCATGCTCAGGGTTCTCCCAGGCAGGCTGTCTTGTGGCCTGTGGAATCCCAATGACCCTTGGTTCCCTTCCTCTCCCTATCTTGGTCCCATTCCCTTTTGCAAAAGATCTATCTCTATTTCCTATTATCCATCTTTTATTTTGCTCTGTATTTATATTTTGAGTTTCTCATATTTAAACATGTGTCTGATTTAGCTCCCTGATCACAGTGGTCTCAAGATGCATCCATCTGCCTACAATTGACACAGCTTTATCCTTGTGAACACCACAGTGGGTAAACCCATTTTCTTCATCCATTCATTTGTAGGTGGACATATAAGCTGCTTTCAAGGTTTACCTTTTATGAGTCATGCTGCTACAAACATGAATATGCATGAGGATTACACAATGTGACGTCTCTAACCCTTCTGGGTAGAGACCTATAAGAGAACTGGCTCTCATAGGACGAATAGAATTTCTAGTTTTAGTTTTTTGAGGTATCTCCATGCTGACTCTTTGGTCACTCACATTTGACAATGAAGCCTTAAGACCCCATTAGAAAGAAACCATAGGATCAGAATGCAAGGCCCTCCCCTCCCTTCTCCATCACTAATCCCCTCTCCAGTGCACAAATTCCAGCTGGACTCCTTCCTTATGCAAGTCCCACGCTCCAGCAAGCCACTTCCTGCCTGGGTGCTCTGGCTGCTTCCTCATCTGCGTTCTCCAGTCAGACCTGCCCACCTGAGACCACCTCCAGGAACAGCCATCCTTACACAGCTAATCCTTCCAAGGATCAGAGAGCCAGCCAGTCTTCAGTCTCCTGATGATGGGCTCCCTCTGCCTTGCAGGATCCTTTCCAGAATGTCTATACCTCCTTCCCATCAGCAGCCTAGTCAGAAGGAAAGCCCAAGAAACTGGCTTAATAAAAGGAGCATTTGCACACAGGCTGTGTTTAACTGGAATAAAACCAGCAGGGAGTGGGTAGTGTAGCCTCTTTGCCACCTCCCACCCCCAGGCACCGACCCCTTCACCCCTAGAGCCAAGTGTCAGAGTCAGCCCTCTTCCACAGGCGCCAGCCAACCCAAACTCGAACCTGCTGCCCCAGAACCAGAGCTCTTGTGAACCAGAGCTTCTCTGTTATCGAAGGCAGGGCCCCGAGCCTGAAGGGACAGTGCCCAGTGCGAAGTCACTCTCAAACTGTTTTATCTGATGGAAGGAAATCTTTAATCCACTTCAGCTGGAACCCCATTTCCTAAAGATGCTTTCTAGCCCAGCAGGTGCCACCATCATCTGCAAAGCACAGGCAAGGAAGACTCCACATCCCAGTAGCTTGCTGGGCCCCCAAGGACCACTAACAGTACTCCCTTCTCTGCAGCATTCAGCTTCTCCGCAGGACTGGTACCCCGGGGATTAGGAGCTGCACCCCCTCAAAAGGGGAGGAAGGGTTAGGGTGGCCAAGAAGAGGGGAAATTCTGGCTGTGTTTGTCTGCCTCTATAAACATGGGGCCAGGTTTTAATTTCTCCCTCAGCAACTCTTCGTATCAGATGAGAGAGAAACTTCCATAGTAACTAGGCTCCCCCTTGTTTTTCAGTGGCCCTGCTGAACTCAGGCTCACCCGTTTCCTGCTCAGACTCTAAAGGAATTCAGGCTTTTTGTAGTGAAGAAAGACAAGGATCCCCTGGAGTTTTATGTTAGGAATGTTTCTAGATGGTCAGTTGAGGGCTTACACACTTGTTAATTTGCACCCCAAAAACACTTCATGGCCGTATTTAAACCTGTGTTCATGCATGTATTCTAGCTGCCTGTGCACGGTTCCAACTTAATCAACTACTTAATGAGTAGCATTAATATTCGTCGTCTTCTCCATGGGCATCTAACTCACCAAGGCAAAGCTGCTGGCTGTCCACTGCCCCATGCCCCACCATTGCACTGAGAATTGTCTGTCCTCATCTAGGAAGTGGACTGTTTGTCCCTCAAGGTGCCAAAACCCTGCAGGGCACTTTCCAAAGGCTCCATTTGAAAAAGAGATGTTTCTACTTATAGATAGATCTTTTAGAAATGCCAGGCAATTAGGCAGAGCTGTAAGAAATCTGAAAGACAGTCTTTCAGAGATTTCAGAGATCCCTGTAGCAGGCCGGACACTGCGCTGAGCCCAGGGAGGCAATGATACCCAGGCAGCCCAGCTGCATCCTCTGAAGGACTACAGTATGACAGATCGAGATCAGTGTGGGGCTTAAGGTTCAGGATTCCACCCTGCAGGGAAGCTTCCCTCCTAAAGGAGGCTGAAGTCTGAAGATGAAGAGGTAAGACACTGGTTATTCACCAAATGTTAGAGCTGAAATACACACACACACACACACACACACTTTCTAGTACAATTCCTTTATTTGTAGACAAGGAAACTGAGGCCCAACAGAGCTAGAAGTCTTGTTGGAGGTCAGAGCTAATTATAGAATTCAGCCTCGCAACACCCAACCCCTTTCTGCTAAATCACATGGATTTTATTTATATCTCAGCTATAGATTATCCAAACACACTTGGCCAATAAAACACAGAATATTGAGTTAAGAAACCACATCCCTCAAGACCACAGGCATAAATAACGATCGTGTTTTCAGGCGGATGATACCTTTTCATTTCACAAATCCAGAAGATTGTTCATCAAATCAGAATTCCAGACATTTTGTTTGGGAAGACGGGGAAGGTCACAACCCCATCTAAAAGGCGCTGGCGACTAGCTGTGCAGTGCTAATTTGGGCGTGAGCTGAGCTGTGTGTCCAGACAGACTTCTCGCCCCAGCAGGGTGAATGCGCAGTTCGGCAGCCCAGGGTCCCTCCCTGGGGTGCAGCAGCCCCCCCGGGAATTTATCGAGACCGAGGTCGCCACGCTGTACGCCGAAACAGTCATTTGAAAAGCGTGTGAGACGCCGCTTGCCGCCCGCGCGCGTGCGGGAGAGGGCGCCAAGCACGCTCGGGAGAGGGGAAGGAGCGCGGCGGCAGAGCGCAGGCACCGAGGCCGCCTCTGGGGACCCGCTGCAAGGGGCGGGCGGAAGGCACCGTTTCTTTCTACCCTAGACGCGCCGAAGTTGTGTACAATCGGACTCGTGAACCTATTCGTGCGTTACGCATGTATTACAACTCGGGGTTCTCCCCCCCCCCAAAAAAAAATCCTTAAAAGTACAACCTCGGTGGAACAAAGCTGCTTTACCGCGGGGAGCCCCTCTTGGATGGAAACGGCCTCTCTAGAAACCCAAGCAACTTTCCTTGACCCCGCCGGACCCGAGGGTGAGAACGCGCACCCCTCCGCCGCGCCCTGCAGGGGAGCTGGACCTTTGCAGGCGCCCGTGTGGTCGCCGCACTTGCCGCTCGCTTCCCCTTCCCGAGTTTCGAGCCAGCGCCCCCGCGCTCGCACACGGGCCCTCCCCACCGCGTGCGCTCCGCGAGGGCGGGGTGGGGCGGGGTGGGGCGGGGCGGAGCATCCGGGGCCGCTCCCACCCCCGCTCCCGCCCGCGCGCGCCCCCAGCCAGCTCCCAGGGCGCACGGCCCGCCCCCGCCCCTCGGAGAGCAGGCGATCCTCGCCAGCCGAGCTCGGCGGCAGCGGGCGGGGGCCGGGTGAGGACGGGGCTGGCCCGGGCCGCCCCGCTCTGCAGTCGTCTGGAGCCACTGGTCCGGGAGCACTGCGGTCCGCTCCGGCGGCTTCTGCAGGCGCTCGCAGCCATGCAGCCCGGGAGCAGGCGGCGCGCCCCGGACCGCTGCTGAGCCGGCCGGGGCGGCGGGAACCCGCGCCAGCCGAGCCCCTCCCGCGGAACCCCAGGCGGCCGCGGGCAGCCCCGGCACCCCCTCTTCGCCCGCAGCCCGGCCAGCGCCACCCCCCGCGGGCCGCAGGGGCTCATGCAGCCGCCAAGGTAAGCGCTGGCAGCGGCCGGCTGCGACACCCCCAAGGCTCCGCAGACACTTGCCGGGCCACCTCACTGATGTGGTCCGCCCCAGCCTCGCGTCTCATCGTGCCCAGATCTGGAGCTTTGCCGCGCCTGGATCTCCTTAGCGTTTGGCACCAGGAAAGTTTTGTGGTTTAGTGTTTGCCTTCTATTTTTTCCCTAAACTGCGCTGCGTCGGCCCCGGGCGCTGCGCGCGGTCGGGCAGACCCTGCGCGCCTCCTCTTCCCGGAGCCCCCTCTCCGCAGCCGGCCACCCCTTCTCACCCACGGAACCGCGGCCAGGACCGCCCTCACGGCCGCCTCGCCGTGAACCCCTCCGGGCCCGCGGCGTCCGGACATCCGCCTCCCCTTGGCGCGGGGTGGTGGGGCCACGAGACAAGCGCTTTCCCAGGGGCGTCGGCGGGCGCGGCGCGTGGTCCCCGCGCGGGTCGGGTTCCAGCGCCTTGCGCAGGGACGCGCAGGACTTCGGGGAGCGCGGAGGAAGGGGTGGGGCTCCCCAGAGGCTCTCAGTCGGGCACAGCGTGTAGGACACTGCAAGGACTCAGTGTCTAGCTTGCGCCCTGACTCATCCCAGGGTATAAACTGAGGTAAGGGGACAGGTGTATGCAGGGGGAGAGCACATGGGAAGCGCTTTAGGATGGAACTCTTGATTGCATCTTATTAATTGTAATTGCATTAGATTTTCTCGGAGGTGGAATCAATTTCCCCAAATTGGAATTTTAATGGGAGCCTGCTATTATGCGGTTTCGGAAGGCGTTGGATTGTATTTATTTTACAAATTGGGTGTCTCCAGGACGGATCAGGGGGAAATAGCGCCATCTAGCGGAAGTCGCGAGCTGTGCTTTCCTTTCAGGCAGCAAAGTTGGGGTGTTCGCAAAGATTCCGGCGCTAGGTGAAGAGGCGGGAAAAACTAGTTCTGGGTGTCCATCTCGTCCTCCGCCACCTTGAGCTCAGCACGCTTTGCACAAGAGACGGAAGCTTGAGTTTATGAGTGGCAGGCTGTCACCTCGAAGATCGCTATCATTTTCTCCACCTGGTTTTAGGATCTTTCAGCAGAAATATTAGGTAAAATGTTACTCGATGTAAGATGCCCTTTCCGTTGACATCTGTTGCAGAGACCTAGAAACCCTGTGCAGGCCCTTGCTTTTCTGCTGTGCATCCCAGACAGGTGGTTTTTCTGGGATCTGTCCTAGGACAGTGATTGGTGTCCGGTGAAGGAGAATCGGGAAAGGCCTGGTGTTATCCGGGCAGCAACAGTACGTGTGTCCCAGAGGGCATTTGCCCATATAAACGAGGTCTTGCTGCTGCACTACCACCCCCTCCCCGCAGCAGGTGACAAGCACCCCCCTTTGCTGGACTCCATTTCACATTAAGAACAAGGATGCACAAAGGCACTGGGTGGGGCATGCACACATTACTGCCCTGTGCCGCCACCTTCCAAGCCAGCGGGTGTTAGCAGTGAGCTGGGTTCTCCCCCTTCCGAAGGGCGGGAGGCACTGTTGTTTTCTGCATGTGACAGGGCCACGGTGGTGGTAATGAGGGGGAAGCCTTTTCTCCTTTGTTCAGGATCCCCGCTGGTATCATTTGCCTACCAGGTGACAGACAGGTGCCGCGCGCCTTACCCAAATACACATGGTTGGCTCCCACCCCACCGCAGGCTCAGCTGTCTCCAGTCTGGGCATGGAGGAGAAGCAGGCATCTCTGTCTTCTCTCCTTACAAACCTCTCCCTGAATGCTGCCACCACTTCTGGGGCACCCGAGGAAGGACCCGAGGAAGACTCCTGTTCCATGGGCTCCACCAGCCTTGTAAGGAACACACCCTAAGCATCTCTTCTCCCGGACAAATAGTGTCCACAGCACCCGCATAGCTTTGCTCACTGACCGCAGGAAATGGCCAGGCATAGACGCAGGCATTTCCAGGTCTGGAAAGAATACACTGATGGCAGAGAGGTGGACAGGCACAGCCAGGGTTCTGTGAGTCTGAAGTGCTTTCTTCCTCTTCAGCCTTGCTGGATGAATTAACCTGAAGCACTCTGCTTTCAGCAAGTGCGGCTGCGAGGTTTGGTCATGCGTTAAAGTGTAGTGGCGTACACAGGGAAGGAGATGTGGTTCCCTGTCCCTCGAGGAGTCTGCCAGCCAGAGAGATGAAGTGTTCTCAAGTGAAACTGAGCAAAAACAGGACAGCCAGTGCAGGTTAGTCAGAATCTGTTGATTCTGTGAAGCGAAATGAGCACTACCCCGTTGTTCAGAAAAACTCTGAGGTGGGGCTCCTGAAGGGGATTCCTTTGCCTTTCAAGCAATATTCAGTCATTCAATCAAATAACAGCATAAGTTTAACTTGAAGAAGAGAGGCCTCCAGGCTTCCTGGTCTGTGTGATATCCACATCCCTTTCCCAGTGACAGGTTCCTCCACCCTTCCCAAACTGGGGATCTAACCTGGAGCCTTGAGCATGCTAATGAACACTTAGCCCTGAGCTACATCCCTAGCCTTTTTTTTTTTTTTTTTTTTTTTTTTTTCTTGCTTGAGTCTAAACACTCAATATCAGCCTCTCTTCTTATAGCAACAGCTAAAATACTTAGAGGCAATGGAAGACATTAAGGACGGCCTTGCCTGGGTGTTTAGTTCCCTTGGTGACAGATGAATGCCTTTAGAAAGGATACCTAGTGTCTTAGCTAGGTGTGTCCTAGGAGGAGACAGTGCTCTATCCTGTTAGACCTCAGGGCTCAGTGTGTAGAACTTTATAGTTCTAAGGGCAGGAAAAAACAATTTTGAAGTTTGGGCAGAAATTGACAAAATAAATGCAAATATCTTGCACAGGCACATTTAAAACATGGCTAAGTCATTGTTAATTCATGAACCTAAAATGCACTACAAGCCTACTCATTTTATCAAACTATGATGTCCAGATTACTACAGTAAAGCAGGAAAGTGCAGACAGCACGAGTGATGGGAGCGTGATTACAGAACTTCTGGCTGGATTTCCTTCTGTCCATTTTAAAGCAAGACTAACAAATGTAAAGCTTCCAGCAATCAAGGTACTACATTTGCCAGAGTCTGAAAAGCAGGCAAAAGTCTTGAAAACAAAGAATCGTATTGATTATCTGGTAAAACACAACCAGTTCCCATGGATTGGGTCCTCTGTTGGCCAAAGCAGAGATCTGCAGATATGAGGAAAAATACCCTGAAATGTGTTGACTTTCTGTCTCTTTGGGGCTTTTCAGTAGTTACAATCCTATGGTGGCTGCTCCTTACTAGATCTCCCTGGACGCTCAGAGCTCAGCATCTTTGCAGCGGCTGGCTGTGGCTGACAGCAATAATTTGTCCTGTCACCTGATGACACTATTCTTCATCTGTCCTTGTAAATAAAGCTGTTCTATGGAAGTCCTCGGTGAGAACTGCAGTACCATGGCTTTATTCTTAGCATGCTTGGCTTCCGCAGGGTGGAGGCAGACAGTTTTTCCACCTCTGTGGGCATTCTGAAGAATTTCCTCCTTGATGATATCTTTAAACAGTATTAGGTGGAAACGTACAAACACAGCCACACTTAGGATGGGCTTCTAAACATCCTGCATGGTGTTAGACATGGTGAGCCACAGTGTAGGCTACTTGGAATTTACTCTCCTGCGACACTTTTATACACTTCCCAGCTGATTTTGTACACAATCCCGACAGATTTTCTCCAGATCAGTTGCTTCCACTCAGCTCGATTCTCTTAAAGTCAGATCATGCTGACCTTGCTAGTGTATTTCCCTTGCAGTGATACCATTTTACCTGTTAGAGTGATGTCTGTGCCCTGGCGGTGACTTTAATGTCTTTTCCAAGAGGTGGCAGAGTATAAATAATACAGATTTTTAAATGCAACTGCATTTTCTCAGATGGGCATCCACTTACCCAAGGGAGGCAAAGCAGAGAGACTCTGCCTAGAGAGCACCTCCCCGGGAGCTGCCGTGGGAGTCACTGTACAGGTGCACCCCTGCTGATAACCCCACCGCACTGCGTTCAGGCAGCTCATTTTGCAAAGCACACGCAATTAGTAAGATTTTAACTTACTTGGTCATTCATCAGTTGGTGGAGCTAAAGAATTTGATATTCAGGTTCCAAAATACTGACCTCAAAAGGCTTCCCTGGCTGTGGATCTCAAGACTGTGCCACAGAACAGGCTGTGCACCACCTCCTCCATGCGGGGCAAGTTTTACATGGCTTTCATTTTTCTTTCTGGGAGCATTTTAATAAAACTTAAACTCCAAGGCCTGATTTCTTCATGACCACATAGATGCTCTTGGCAGGGTCTCCTGACTCGGAGCTGGGTAGGGAACATACTGATCCAGGAGCCTGAGTTGAGAGTCC